TTTGTGTGGGCGTCAGGGAGATGAGACTGATTGTTTTGTTTGTTTGTGTGGGCGTCAGGGAGATGAGACTGATTGTTTTGTTTGTTTGTGTGGGTGTCAGGGAGATGAGACTGATTGTTTTGTTTGTTTGTGTGGGCGTCAGGGAGATGAGACTGATTGTTTTGTTTGTTTGTTTGTTTTTTGTTTGTTGTCAATTTTTGATGACTTTGTTCTGAGCCAAGTGTACTGTTGTTGTATTATTGATTTTGATCTAGATCTACAGACTCTATGGTTTTGGTTCCCTTACTGGGTTTTCCCCCAAACTTTAGGGTCTTTAGAACCTCCTGGGGTGTGTGCTTCTTCTGTGTCATTGTTGGACTGGAGTTTACAAGTCACAGGACTCAAAAGCGGGTTAGTGGCGATTTTTCTGTTGTGTGTAGTTAGCTGGTGCTCTGGTGTGGTTTGCTCCTTCTTTCCTGTCTAACATCTACCTTCCTTATCTCCTTCTTGTTTGTTACTCTCTTGTGGCACCGCTAATCTTTGACCCTTGTATGGTCAGATAAGATCAGATCAGATCAGATCAGATCAGATCAGATAAGATCAGATCAGATCAGATCAGATCAGATCAGATCAGATAAGATAATACTTGATTATCCCAGAGGGAACTTCTGTGAGGCAGCGTGGGGAATCAGCTGTCGTCAAAAGAATGACAGTCAAGAAACTGCAGTGGTATTTTTCTGCAGGTTTGGGAATTTTAATTGAATTTTAATTTTTTGGCTCAACACCTTTTCATGTCTATTAAAGACTGAAAAACGTTGATTAAAGAAAGATGTAAATTTCCAGTTTCCTCGGACTCTCAAGCTAAGGAAATAACTCAACTTTGGCGGCCATTTTCTCGCTAGTTTGACCTCTGACACTAGGTGACCCCCACCTCCTTCAATGACCAATACCTTGACTTGTGTCCCAGATAAGTGGATAGTTTTTCCTCACCAGTGAGGCAAATGGACAGGCTGTAAGCTGATACCTTATCTCCACATGCCCCGACATTGAGGAGCGGCTGCTTCCACCACGTGGTGACGTGACCCATATGTTGTGTCTGTCTCATGTTGCCCTGACCCCCTTCTCTCCATCGTTCCCTGGGCCTGCCTCTTCCCCCCTTCTCTCCATCGTTCCCTC